ACAAATTATCTTCGCAACTATGTCCGCCAGACTGACCATTAAACTTACGACAAGGGGTAATCATCAGCATCCTTCACAGGGTATATGAAGTTACGGAGAGATCGGATCAAAAATGCGAGCATGGTTTTATGAAAAAAACAAGTATGTATGTATGTATGTGCTATAAGCAAAGGACTAAACGTTAAAAGAAAACGAATTTTTCGTCGTCATTTTACCTGTTAGGGAACAACAACAAAAGAAATCACGAATCCTATTGCCAATCACTTTTGATTTACGGTATAATATTTGCGTATTCGTTGGGAGGGGGGTGGTAATATAGGGAATCAGGACAACTTTGTTGAAAGAAGTGAACTGTGTTGCACGGCACCTCAAACTTTCATCCCTCTTTTTTTTTTTTTTACATTTTTCTTTTCTCTTGACTGCTATTAAGTTTTATTAAATTCTTCCTGCTTTTTATTTATTCGATTGGATTGGTGTTGGATACAATAATTAAATTGTGTCAAAAGTTTCTTTTTTTAAGGGGGATTTTACATACACGATATATATATATTTTTTTTTTTTTTGATTGTTCGTTATTTCAATGAAAATTGTTTCATTTTTATCTGGAAATGGAATTAATTGTACAGAAATAATAATTTGAATATACTAATATTTTATTATACACCTAATGCACGTTGACAAAAAAAGATATTAAAAAATCTTGTTAATACTGGAAATAAATTTTAATAAAGAAACAGTTTCACGCGAACATGAATTTCAATAATATTTATGACTCTCTATTTTTCATCTTTTATTCTATTTTTATCATCAATTCTCACACTCGAGGATAATCGGCGCAAAACTTTTTAATGACGGATTATTTTCACGCAATCGTGGATCAATTTTGATGTCTCTTTCCGTTTCTCGTGTGATCGATCTAACTCTCATTTTCAACGTTCGCGAAACTCCAATATGGTCGATTGACATGCAATGCAATGAAAACGAATTCGCAAAATCGATTGGCGCAAAAAAAAAAAAAAGTATCGATTCAACTTTTGTCTTTCGATCTTACCGCAACACGCAACTCGAATTTCTCTTTTTCTTTCCAATTCTATTTTGAGTTGGTTTTTTTATTATTTTTATTTTTTTTTTGTTTTTTTGTTAATTATTTTTTTCCCTCCCCTATATAGGAGTGAGTGTAGAAGGTCAAAGGATAATAATAATCGATATCGTTCTCTCTCGTAACGCAACTTCTTTGAACGCTTAGAGCTCGCGGAATCGCTTCAAGGATATTTCGAATGCGCAGCACTTACATGGAGATAAGGAAAATTAAATCCTATTAAGTTGTTGTTATCGTAATTACGATCGCGCTCGATCTAACGTTCCCCGAGAAAGGAGCCGACAAGCTTACTTTGGATTATCTCTTTCTTTCTCTTTCTCTTTCTCTTTCTCTTACTCTTTCTCTTACTCTTACTCTTACTCTCTCTTTCTTTCTCTTTCTCTCTTTTTTACTCACTCACGATTTTGTATTATTTATCGATTACATACGTATTCGTCTTTATTACAATTTTCTTTAATTCGTTTATCATCCTGTAAAATTGTCCTTACACACCACATTATATATATGTTCATCCATCATCAATTTATTAGATCATCTTTTCAATTATTTTTAATATGAATTTTTTTTCTTTTACAATATGCAAATTTCTATTTTTTCTTAATTTGTTTTTTTATTTTTATTGCTTAATAAATTTTTGCGTCATCATTGATTTATATTGAAATTTGTTTTCTTCAATTTTTAATCACCTTCTATGTCTCACTAACGAATTAATTAATATGATCTAACAGGATACAGTGGATCCTTTATTAATTTTTTTAATTTTTTTTTTTTTTTAATTAGCAAGAATTCTATTTCTATCTTTTCTATTTAATAATTTTGTTTTTATCAGTTATTTAATAAAATCGTTAATTTTTTATTCGAACTTTTGATTTATAATCATCCTGTCAATTTGATCACATCAACAGATGATGTCAAAATACGGACACGTTTATTAATTTTTTTTTTTTAAATTAATTTACATATGAGCTATATACCTTACGGTTGTTGTTCTGTTTAGTATATTTCTCTTCCTCTCTTTAAGAATTTTATATTTATAAATCTGAAACTTTCATTCTGTATTTTTAACTTTCGTTAATTATTCGACAAATTTGTTAACACATTCCCAAAATCAATCACGTGTAATTCAGGATATGTTCGTTGTCCTTGATTTTTCTCGAGAAAATATAAAAAAGGAAGAAAAAAAAATGTGGAATAATTTCACGATAGCAGGTTTTATCGATCCTTTTATATGATTTATCCTCTTTCTTCGATCGTCCTTGGCAAATCGAAGGAGATGATCTTCGAGTTGAAGAAAAAAAGGCTTGATATACCTGTAATTTCGACAGCATTTGCCCGAAAATCTTCGGCAAACGGGCGTGTTGTTCCTAAACACGAGAAAAGAAAGGATGAAAGAAAAGAAGGAAGGAAAGAAAGGAAGGAAAGGAAAGGAAAGGAACGGAAAARAAAAGAAAAAAAAAATATGTAGCTTCTGTGTGCGCGGTAATCACTGAGATTTCTTCGCGATTTCGTGGAACATCTGTGCAATTTGCGTGCAAAATGATGAGTGGTAAGAATGCCTTAGGGTGTCTCGCTGTGATCGACTTCTTGCCCTTATATCGATGATGATCTTCCTATCCTTCATCCCAACTATGAACCCTAACTTACTAGAATCTATTTTATTCTTTTATTTTTATTTACTATTATGCGATCATAAAAAACCATCAACCCCGGGAAAATACGAAGAAACTTTTTGCCCCCCAATCCAATGTTTATCAAAATCACAGATCCTACATATGAAGATTTGTTAATTAAATTTTTTTTTAAATCAATAGATTAGAAATTATCCTAATTACTTTTGGAAGAATTTTAAAATCATTAATCTGCCAGGAAAATACGAAGAAACTTTTTCCCCCTAATCCAATGTTTATTAAAATCACAGATCCTACATATGAAGATTTGTTAGTTGAATTTTTTTTTTAAATCAATAGATTAGAAATTATCCTAATTACTTTAGGAAGAATTTTAAAATCATCAATCGAGCAAATACGCAAAAATTACTTCCCCCTCCACTCACCTCAATCGAATATTTCCGGAATGAAGTTTTTTTAATTGAATTATTTTTGTCTAAATGTCATCGATGAATGAGAAATCATCCTAATCACTTTTGGAAGAACGCAAATAGATAGATAAATAGATAGATAGATGTAAAGAGAAATAACGTATTCTCGCAAGAAGTGAAAGGTGAATAGATTATATTTAGAAAACTATAGAAACAGATAGATAGATACATATGTATATATATTTACGAACATTTGACTCTATCGCAACGTTGAACTATCAGTCGCCCATTATACGAACGAACGTAGAGAGTTCTTCGGGATTACATGGAACTCGATAAGAAGAGGGAAAATCTATTCTTGGTGAGAATCGAAATGTTCTCACGAAGGATTAATGTATTTCTATTTTAACTCATATGTCCTTTTGTTATTCTTATAATATGAAAGAATAAGGCAAAAAAAAAAAGATTAAAAATAATAATAATAAGAAAATAACGATGATAATGATGATGATGATGATAATGATGATGAATATCACAGACTCATAATTACATGAATGATATCATAGTAACATAATATAATAGATAGCTACTTTAATTCCGTCACATTCGATCGTGTTACTGATAATACAAAGAAATTTATAAATATTAAAAAAATTAAATATGAATATAAAAATTATAAATATATATATGAATATACAAGTACATAGATATTAAACAGATATATAATTTAAAGATTTATACGAGAAATAAGATTTTATCTGGCTTTGATAAAGGAGTAAAATAAAATCGGTATGAGGATAAAGATTTGTTTGGTTCTCGAGGGAGCCTAATGGATATTAATAGTCTCGTCTCAACTCGTCTCGTCTCGTCTCGTCTCGTCTTGAAAAAGAGAAGGATCAAGAAAAGAAAAATAAAAAGAAAAAATTTCCGACCAGTCTTACCAAAGGAATTTAAAATTTTGACGCGTAATGATCCAAAGGCGTAATGCAATTAATCGATAGGTTTAATATCGTTTCGATCCTGTCATCCAACGCGAATGCAAAGTAAATTAATAATTTAATGGTCATCTCGATGACCATGGTCAAGCACCATTAATTCTATTTTATTTGTATTTTTCTTTTGTTTTCTTTCTTTTGTTTTTGTTTTTCTTTCTTTCTCTTTACGAAGCGATTAGCTCTCGTAACGCCGGTCGTTGGCAATTTCCATAATCTTCTCACGGATGTGTTATGAGGTCAGATCAGCAATTCATCGTTTTACCCTCGTTTCTATAACACATGTTTTTCTTTCATTTTTACTATCTTTCTAAATAATCTAAGATTTTTATGCGTGTTAAAAAACATTATAAAGTAATTAATTTCTTCTAGTAATTTTAAATTGCATACAAATTGCTTTGGTATCGTGAATTTGTTCTTATTCATATCTTTTTTTTTTTTTTTACAGCTAGAAAATAAACAAAATGAAACAAATTTATTTTAAGGGTAAAATAAATTTGATATTTCGTCGTTAACGTATGGCTTTTAAAATATATTTTAATTTATATGATATATCAATATATCATTGATTTTGTCTTGAGTAATTTTTCTTTTTTTATTTCATCAAATTATAAGTAAGATAAATGTTTGTATTTTTATGATTTTATTTTCAAATTGATGTATCATTAGTATTTGTATTTATACTTGATAGTTAATATTAGTCGTCATAGTATAAAGATGAATCGATGATTATCTTGATAATAACTATTATCGAAGATTTCTTATGCGATTTAATAGATTTTAATTCGATCCTATTTTCTCCTTGACAATAATTAATCTTTTTACTATAATGATCACCTATACTTAAATTGTTTTTCTTATTTATTTTCAGAGAGGAATTAGCTATGAAAATCGGTCTGACGGAAGCAAGGATACAGGTTAGTATCAAAACACCTATTTCAAAATCTAATTATCTCAATTACGTTGAATAAGAAAATTTCAACGATAGAAACAAAAAATAACCATCCAAATATTTCTTTTTACAAAAAAAAAAAAAAAAAGAAAAAAAAACGAGAAAATTAATCGAGCACGAATGCATATATTTGCGTTTTTACGCAAAATTAGATTATTTATTAGATCGTTTGGAAGCTTTTGACATTTGATTTTGTTAATAGCACCTAGTCAATAATCCGTGTGATTGCGTTTGCTTGCCTCAAGCTAAGGATTATGAGAGAAAATAACTTTACTAACACACCATCTTGTTGCACGACTATATATATGCGAATCTACACAAATATGCAGAAAAATATTTAGATATATGAGTTGACTAATAAGTAATGTCGGAATATTTAATATAAAAAAATCAATGTTTTTTATTACGAGATAAAATATTAAAGATTTTCTAATGACAAATATTTTAAACTGTTATTTAAATATGTTAATAATGTTCAATAAAAAAATTTTCAAGATATGAAATATCATAAACAATATTGTTCTTATATGATTTATACAATTTCTTAAATTATTTTTTTATAAACAATATCTTAAATTATTTTTTTTTTTTTTTATTAGAAAATAAATACTTATTAAATTATTTTTAACGAGTGAAATAACAGCTACAAAAATTACCGACATTATATTTATTGGCTAACTAAATATATAGAAATTGAATGTATAAATGACTACACATGTTAACTAACACGTGCACACGCTAATTTGTAGATATACTCGCGCCTGCCAAGTAACACGCGATCGAACGAAGATAAAAGTTCCTTTTGTGTCGTGTCTTACCGGGAAGACTATTAATTCGCCTAGTGGCAAATAGATTACATAAATTTCCACGAGATTTACATGACGTTGTTCCGTTGAACGATTCAATGGAATTACGTACTTACTTACTAACGTTAATAAATGCTTTARTATAATTGATATACTATGAAATAAAGAAATAAAAACTCATATTGTAAAATAAATCGAAATTATCAATGCAATTTCACATATCAAATAATGTTAATATTCACAAACACACACACATATTACATGAAATTTTCATGTAATTAAAATTCAAATATTTTAATATTTAAAATAATTCAAACGACAACACTCATTAATACGTTCATTAAATAAATCTAATTTTGTTTTGCAATGAAATTTTAAGAATTGTATATTTAAAAGATTCAAATGGCTTTATAAACGAAAAGAACGAATGCCTTTTTATTTGAATGACAGGTAAACCATGAAAAAGAGAAAGAGCGAGAGAGAGAGAGAGAAAGAGAGAGAGAGAGGTAAAACGTGTTTGCTCGTTGCGTGAACCACCAGCTAATTTGCTCAATTAGTTTAATTTATTCTCGGTATTTACTCGGCCCTTTTTCCAACTTCTTTCGACGCCACACGTTGACTCTTTCCGTTTCATTTTCTTTTATTTTTATTTTTTTTTTTTCTTCTATTTTCTTCCTTGTAAATCTACGTTTACATCTCTATCTCACTTTCTCTCTCTTTCCTTTTTATTTTTACTATAATCATATAACACCTGTATTTTCTTATCCTAAGAAAGGAGTGAAAAAAAAAATATTCACCTATGATTTGCACGTAGAGAAAAAAGAAAATAAAAGAATAAAAATCTTAGGTTATCAAAATAATCCCTATGTAATATTTAGTTACATATATATAGAAATGAGAACCACTGTTCACGTAAATGACACGGTACCACGGCTCACAGCTGCGTTAATCATTTTCAGGAATCTCTGAATGGATATAATACAAACACACACCTAAACGTTCTCATATATATATATGTATTTTACTGTACATTCGACTCACGAAGGAAAAGGTGTTCTCGTCCTCGAGCTACGAAGTATAATGACTTCTTACATGATTATATTCGCGTGGGCTACGTACGAGAAAAACTCCCACGCGAATTACTCGGGCGTGAAATATTTTTCTCGTTGCTTTTCAAATTTCATCAAACTGAATTAACATTTTTCTTACTTTCCATTTTTTTTTTCTTTTTTTTTTTTCTCAAATTTATTCTTATCTATCGAACTAACGAAGTATATCGATTAATTGACGTCCACTATACAATAATAATCATAATAAATAAATTAAATTATGATTTGTAATGGAATAGAATAAATTTAAAATTATAATTTATATAATATTTTAATTTAAATATAAAAGAGAGAGAGTAAACATTTGAGATTATTATTATTAAATTTGGATTTTTAATAATTTGGTAAATATTAATTTATAAATGGATCAAGTATACTAAAAAATCTTTAAATAATTCTTGTTTTAATATATTACCTATAATGCATTACAAAATAAACCTTTTGTTATTTCAAAATAGAAGTGAATTTGCAAGAGTGAAAACAAAATTTGATATAAAATATATTAATTTCATTTTTTATTTAAATTAACGTACATATTTTGTAATGAAAATATCTAAATTTTTGTTAACATTCAACAATTTTTAAATTAACACAGGCGTATTTGAGAGAATCAAAAAACCATCCAACTAAATTTAAAACTTCCTTCCTTATCCGATACGATAATAAGACCACCTCTTCCCTCCCCCTCCTGCTCCTCGTCATTTACTCGCCTTCCGAGTTACGTAAAAGTACAAATCGAATTACGAATCTGACTAAAGCGGATGCTTGTGGATAACCGTCAATCGTGTCGGCGCGTGCGGTTTCCACGAGGAAAGATTACGTCATTCTTTGTTCAACAGGGAAAAGAAAAAAAAAAAAGAAATATATATACACAAAATTTTAAATAAATACCACCAAACGTAATAATTAACTAAGCCGTGTAACCGATTAGAACGATATTATTATTCAATGTTAGCGATCTAATTTTTTCTCATTTTTTTTTTTTTTTTATCTGTTTCCTCTTCTTCGTAAAGTATTATTTATTATTTTTTTTTCATTCGTCCCTGTAATTTCGTAACTTTTCAAAAAATTATTTTCTAAATTGTTCAAACAATTTTCATAATATTTTTTATTAAACAACAACACACAGAAATCTTTTTTCAGTTGTTACGTGTTAATCCATGAATGTAAAAGTGTGTTAATTATCCGTGACGAATATATCATTAAAATGAAATCAGTATTATTTTTATTTAATATTATCACACACACACACACACACACACACACATTTGTTATTTTTTTTTTTACTATAAATTATTTCCTTTACATTTTTTGTCCAGTATTTTTCTGACAATAATTTTCTAAATGATTTATAAACAATTTGAAAAATAGTTTTATCTACAATAGAAATCTTTATTTCATAATAATCTGAACAATTTTATTACAAAAAAAAAAAAAATCAAATCACGTCTAATCAAATGGATACAAAAACAATTTGAACAATAGTTTTATCAATAATAAAATCAAAATCTTGTTTTTATAATAATCTGACTAAATTCATAATAATCTGAATCACGTCAAACCAAATTGATACGAATTGAACACAATTTATCATAATGCTATAATAATATTTTTACTCAATTCTATTATAAAAGAAAATAATTTGAACGAATGAATCACCAATAGTTTGTCATAACGAAAAAAACATCTTATTTCCAACCGTGGTATACTAATTTATGAGTTGGTATAATAGCGGGACGTACGATAGGTGCAGTCAGTCGATATTTTAGTCAATTTAATTTCTTGTCTATCGTAAAATATAATTATTTGAGTTTGGACAAGGAAAAGGGGTGGAAGATGTCGGCGTTGTTACAAAGATAGGGAAAGGGGAAGGGACAGGGGCCAAGGGAGATTCTCTTCGTTCGTATAATTAATGCGGCACGATTAGGTTCCGGCGGGCCCAATGATTGGGTTTTGTTTTAAAAGCCGCGACTCGGATGTTTAGCGCCCTGCTGGGGGCCCAATCCTCTACTCTCTGGGGGGTCCTAGCACCCTTTACCCTTCCCAAACCCCCTTCTTCTTCTTCTTCTTCTTCTTTCAATCTTCACGAGACCATAGTTTCTTTTCTATGATCTTGACCGGCTCAACTAAAACATACGCCCTTTCTCAATTCTCTTTCTTTTTTTTATCTATCGGTTTTTCCTACCATCTTTTGATCCATCGGATCGATAGATCCATGATTATCCGGTAATTTGTTCAAGGTTTCTGGACATTAAATTATTATTGTAATTTATTATTTGCTAAAGAAATGTTTCACTTTATAAATTGTTTATTATATAAATTTGTTAGAGATAACTTATAACAGATTTGTTGATTGTTCTTTTCACAATTTTTCTTTATAATATAATAATAATAATGATAATGTAATATTTAATTGATTTTAATTCATTATTAGTAAATTTAATTATTATTTTTATTACAAATGACTCTTTTTATTGTGATATCTTTTTTCACCACTTTCATGGGTTTTTCCTTTTTAGTCATGTTTTAAAACAAACTAGGATTACTGTGAGAATATTTTTATTCCAATCTCACACAGGCTTTTCATTATCACACACACTATTATTATTTATTATTAATACTAAATTTTGATATTTTAAAATTATCTGTTTTAAATTAGTATTGCATCAACTTCCGATAGGATTTAACGTTAATATTATTATATGTTCGATTTAATGATTAATTTCTTTCACAATCGTACAGAAAAACCAGTTGCTTGAAAAGATTCTTAAGAATTGCAAAGTCATCTTTCTCTTTATCTCTTTCTCTCTCTGTCTGTTTCTTTCGATCTTCCATTTAACCGTCAAACAAATTACTAACACGACCAAACGTTCAAAGAATATACACATCTTCTAAACTCGAATGATTAAAAAAAAACCGAAAACAAAAAAAGGAAATAATTAGAAACGCAAATTTTCGAAGAATGGAAAGAACTAATTCTATTTTATTGATAGCAAAAAAGTGAACATAAGTATAGTTGTATAGATCAACAATAAAAGGGAACGTAAACGTTAACGTATGCAATGATCAAGAATGAACCAAGCAGATTTTCATAGAACGAAGAATAAATCATTAATAATCTTTAAATCATCGGATGATAAGACTACGATACTTGTAATATAATCGTTCAAAGAAATCGATGATGATAATATAAAGACAAAGTTCGAAATGACTCGATTATAGATTATAGATATAAATCATTATGATTACTAATAAAATTCAGTATAAATCAATTTTACATTGTTACGTGTAAACGAATAATAAATAATTTGTTATGCGTTTGCAAATATGTTAAACAAGTTTTTACATAAGGAAGATTGTCTATTCGACATAAAAAGAGATAGAGATAGAGAGAGAGAGAGAGAGAGAGGAAAAGAGATTTATGCGAGATTTGTTTATGTCTTTTTACGATACTAAATTAATAATTTCTTTTTATACATTTGTAATAACAATAAATCATGATTTTATGAACCTTCGATATTTTTTCCTCCCTCTTTGGAAGATATAAAATAAAATTAATGAGATAGATGTGAATAATTTATTTTATTTGCAATAATAATCAACCACGCATTTTCATATACGAGTTTGTTGAGTTTTTTTGTTTGTTTGAAAAGTAATTCCGATTAGTCGCAGTTTATCGATACCTAACTTTTATTCCAAACTTCAACATTATTTTATATTGCATTTTTATTACTGTACAAGTAAAGATGCGATGCAAGAGAGAACAAAATGATTTACAAAACAAAATTGTTAAATGAATCCCAGAATTAAAATTGATTTTTGAAATTTCGTTCGAATATTTACGATTTGAAAGATGAGTGTCTCTTCCCCTCCCTCACATTTAAATCATCCAATTGAAGAAGGGTAGTATATCAAAGTGAGAAATTGAATTCATCAAATTGGACCATACACGATTATTCAAAAAACCTTTCAGATTCAGAATATGAAAACATCCAGTCTGATTTATCATTGCAAGAATATAAAATTACTTATCGAACAATATAATAGATAAAATTATTAGATATATATTTTTTATTTTTTACAAGATAAAAGGGTAGGAGAGTAAGAAGATCCTTTTACAAACAATTTAATCTCAAACGAAAACTAATCTTAAATAAAATTCGACTGATCGAATAAGTTGGATTGCATCGAATATTATTTAGTATTGTCACGAAAATAGTGAACGACCATGCGAAAAAGGAAGAGAAACAGAGAGAGAGAGAGAGAGAGAGAGATAGATAGAGAAAAATATACGAAATGAGAAGTTTAAAGAAATGTAGAGGGTGGGTGGGAAGGGGTTAAAGTTTTCTAGAAGCTACCGAATCGCGTCTAGTTGGTTATATAGTTTTGTTTTTGTTTTTCATAATTCTAAATCGTGATACGAAAAATAAATTTCTTAGAACGATTGTGTGTCGGGTCGCGAGGAAGACACGAAAGAAAAATCGATCCAACAAGCTTACGAACGATTGGCTCTACCTTTTGCCTCCCTCGTACGAAGAAACGGTGAGAGAAGAGTAGGGGGACTTTAAGAAAAGGGACGAAATGAGTGCTAACAACAAAAGGAAAAGAGAAAGAGAAAGAGAGAGACACTTCCGTTGAACCGATCGGAGCTACTCGACTCTTCGTAGAAACTTCGCAATGGAATGCGTTCAGAACGAACAACAAGTACCGCCAACGAAGATTCTCTCTTCTTCCTCTTATCCTTTCCATTCACGTTAGATTTTTCAATCGAACTTAAATACAATTATCTATTTTTTTTTTATCCCCCCTAGAAAAGAAAGTTAATTTTTCTATGTATCCTGGATGCGTGCAATAAATTGTCTGAGAGAAAAAAATTAAATTATCTATTTATTTCTTTTGGTCAATAATTTTTCAATATTTTTAATTAAACAGATTTTGTTAAATAAATTGTTAATATAAATAATATATTTGTCAATAATTTAATTATAAATAATAAATAAATTGTCAATATTTTAAATATATATATATATATATATATATATATATATATATATATATATCTGGTTTTTAAATACTGACCATTTATTTATAAATATTGAAAATAAATTTCATCAAAATATACATTTATAAAATTTAAATTAAACCCCTACGTTTGAACACAAATATTTAAATTTTGCAATAATCATTTCTACTTATATAAAAATTATATTTTATTAATTCGTTGAATATTTAGTTAAGATCTGGTTTGATTTCAAAGAGAAAAGGTAAAAATTGTCGATAGGGGATAAAAGGAAGCTAAAGATGGTTGAAAGGAAGAATAAGAAGGAAAGAAAGAGGATGTGAGAGAGAGAGAAAGAGAAAAATTGTAAAGATCTTTGCCTCGAAGCAGCCTTCCGTTCGGTCGGAAGACCGCCGGTAATGATACGCTGCCGCCTTCCTGAAAAAGGTTGAGATGCGTCACTCTAACCGGAATTCGATCTCTCCGGGGTCGTCAACGACTTCCAAGGAAAGGTATCAATCCGCCATTCTGACCCGGAATCGAAACTACGAGTTCGTTGAAAGATTCTAACCATTTATCATTTAAGCCCACCCTAGTTTCTCAATTATTTAAATAAAATCTAACAACAATCATTTTTATATATGTATATAAAAAAAATACAATTAATCTTCAAACTACGAATAATTATTTTATTTCTCAATTTAATATGTTTCAGGTGTGGTTTCAAAATCGTCGAGCGAAATGGCGAAAGCAAGAAAAAGTTGGGCCCCAAGCCCATCCGTATAATCCTTATCTTGGATCAGGTGCACCCCCACCATCTGCAGTGGTAGCTCCTACGTTACCCAATCCATTCGCTCATTTGAGTAGTTTTGCTCTACGAAAGCCATTCGAAGCTTTTCGTTATCCACCATTGGGACATGGACCAGTTCTTCCTGGAGCATTCACAACTCATCCTTATCATCGAGCACCACCACCGTTGTTACCACCAGGCATGCCATTACCTTATACGTCAGCGGCATCCTTTCAAAGTCTATTGGCAAATATATCAGCTGCTCAAAGACCAAAACTCGTTCGAGGTTCTACACCACCGCCACCACCACCACCAGCACCAACAGCTCCGCAAATTACTTTGTCTCATCCACCGATTCCTCAACCACCACCACCACCTACGGCAAGTTCACCTCAAAGCTCACCAACGGGTAGCGTTGGTTTACCTGACATCGACAGAAGAACCAATAGCATCGCTTCTCTTCGTTTAAAAGCAAGGGAATACGAGCATCATCTTGAATTGCTCAGGAAAAGAGGTGATCTCATTAGCTGAAGATGGAATCTTATGGTTATGCATTTGATGATAATGATGTTAATGATGATGATGATGATGATGATTATTATTATTATTATTATTATTATTATTATTTTTATTATTATTATTATGACAAGAACGATGATGATTACTAGAAAATAATAATAGAACGATGATACTTCTCGGTTGATAAAGTAGTATCATAGTGAAAGTGAAACAAACGTGAGAAATGAACGGTAGAATATCAAAGTCATTCTGTAATTGCTAGAACAATTTAAAATACGAATTTAGTTAATAGTGTTCATGAGAACGTGAGAATATTCTCCCGTTATATTATTTTTTTAATTCATATTTTCGATCGATTAATTTCTTTCTTTGAAAATAACTATGTCAAAGCTGTCGAACGTTGTCATATGAATTTCGTTGATCGAAAAATCGATCGATAGTTTTTAAAAGTTATTTAAATATTTGCTACTTACAAAAAAGGACCTTTTTTTTTGGACATAAAAATTATCCTTGTAAAATACAAAAGGACTTTTTTTCTTAACATTAAAAGAATTTCGGAAACGAGGTGAGATAAAATTTGTTTTGTAATATCGATAAAAATGAGTAAAAAAAGAAAAAATAAACAAAGAATAAAATAAAAGGAAAAGTATTGTAATCCGAATGGAAAGTGTTGAAACAAGAAAGGAAAAAAAAGAAGAGCGACGAAGTATTTTCCGTCCACGAGATTTTTCTCGATTTACGATGAAATGCATTTGCATATTTACATTTTAATTTTGAAATATTTTATTACGAGGAAAAAAATGAAACAACGATAAATATCTACAAGAAATAGTAAAAATATGTATATTATTAATCATCGTTATCGAGAAATATTTTGTATTTTTCATTTACCTAATCGAATGTGTAGCAGCACAAGTACGTTTTGTAAAACGTAAAATTGCGAAATTCGATTGAAACGTTTTTACCAATTAAAATTACATCTTAAAATTAGAGAGAGAGAGAGAGAGACATTCTGTTTTTTAATAAAAAAAAAAAATAAATAAATAAATGGACAACGTAAAAGAAATGAATTAATATTTATATAAAATATAGACACACACGATATTTAGATAATAATTTAAGCAACTTTTTTTTTTCTCTCTCTTCCTACGAAAAATTGTTTTTAAGACATAATAGGTTTTTACGCGCGATAACTTAATCATTTATTTTTATTCTAATTTTAATCTAATATAAGTAAACCTTGTAAATAATTAACGAAAGTAAAATATGTATTCTACAATTAATTGCATAAATTACGAAAGAAAATAATTCACCTAATTCTAATGGCTGTTTTTAAATTAGATCAACTTATCTATTCGACTAAATTTCTATAATTTCTATCAAACATTGTTCGTTGTCATTGTAAAACATATGTTTCCTATTATTCTACAATTTTTTCCCATTTATATTGTTTATTATATTAAACATTAGATCAATGTGTATATTGTACTTATTACTATTAACCTGTCTATCTTTTACTTACAGTGAATAAAATGACAACGATCACAAGAGAATGGACAATCACTTATTTACCTCTTTTCCCAATTTACAATAAAACTAAATATTCATTTAAAAAAAAAAGACAATTAAAATAAATCTTAATTTACCAAAAAAATAATTCTCAATTTCAATTTACAACAAATGCAATTATTTTAAATAGTTTCAAGAATGAATAAAAATTATTTTGTCAAATATTTCTTAAAATATTGAATTTATTTATTTCTAAAAAAAAAAAAAGAATATTCTTAACAGTTTGTTTATGTATTCTAAAATATAATGAAATACAATTTCAAAAATATTAAAAATCTTACATTTTATGAAAGCAACTTGTAAGTAGTCAACCTTCATCAGCTAGTTCACAACATTGAAAAAGGTAAGATAAAAATAATAAAAGAAAAATAATTCAAAGTAATTTGCGTTTAGCCATTCGTAACGAAGTCAGATCGAATATAAAGGATAAATCGATTAAAATGAATTAAAGTAGACGACAAGTTGATAGGTCGATCAAGAGTGACATACAAGTTAAGTGCATTACTATGTTGTTAGATAAAAATGCAATGTATCGAATTACTATGATATAAGGAAAGTAAATGTTAAATAATATCAGAAGAATGATAGTAAGCTGAGCTAAGTTTCTAATGAAATGCGTGTCTAATGACAGACGTTTTAGGTGTTGTGTATGTGAGTCACATGAACACACGTATGTAAAATGTTAAATATATTCTACAAATATAATTCAATTCACTTACTACTATAATATATGTATATATATATATACAAAGTGTTTCAAAATATGTGCTAGAATAAATTAAGGAGTGATTTCAGTAAGATATAATAAGGAAAAAAGAATCATATTAAAATAAATATGAATGTTCTTTTTAAAATATAATTAGAAGGAAAATATTCGGTTGTTGATAAAAAAAAAAGAAAATAATACAAAACGTAAAGTATAAGTAAATGGAGCCGGAAAGTTTTGAACCTAACATAGAAATAATTATATTGTCTATCAAATTTACTTTTCCTAAACTATCGTAAGAAAAATTAATGCAACATGTAAAACTTACTATGTGCTCGTAACTTTTTCTTTTCTTCTTTTCAATAAATCTACCTCAATTATTCCAAAGGTATTAATTTTATTTTCACACAAGTATAATACAATATTTCTCGAAATTGATATACTTTTAGCCGATAGTGTACATAAATAAATTCATTTATGTATAATACGTAAGTATGTATGTTTGTGTGTATGTGTATGTGTATATATAAAAAAAAAATAAAAAATAACCACAAATTGGAATTGATTCCCGTAATTTAGTGAGAAAATTATAATAATTATAGGATAGCGTAGTAAAATCGTTTACGAGGAAAATGCTTTCGATATATTATTAAATATCGCTTGTAATAAACGAAGCGTATAGTCGCAGTGAACGTTAATATTTTTTTTTTCTTTCTTATTTTCGATCTTACAAAATAGGAAGTGTTAAAGGGCTAACATTTTTTTGTACGTAATACAACGTAGAAACGGCTGAATGAATTTCTTATGGGGAAAGTTGAAGAAAGATCGAGATAAATGAGCCATTAAACTGGTTTTCGAAGTGAGTTTGGACCGAACGATTTGTGAGAATGATAGAAATTTTGTTAGGTTCAAGATTAATGCTAGCAATATATAATATTTGAAAAATTATTATTGTATAATAGGATTTCGAAATTGCTTATATGTTAATGATCAAGTTTAATATACGTAAATGTTATAATAATAATTAATAAAATATAATAAAATATTGAGATAAATAAAAATTAATAAAAATAATTAATAATAATTACTTACTTATTATACACTTGTTACACCCTTTTATGTAAAGTTAAGAGAGTGAACTTTATAAATGTAATAATAACTGTTATTATTATTATTATACGGGTAATTTATAAACGTTATTATTATCTTTCATTTCATCTTTGCGATTAATCTACTGTTTTTATTATACGGGTCGGTAACATTAAAGACAGGTAAAGAGAAATAGAGATACTTCAAAAATATATGCTCAGCAAAAAAATGGTAATAAATTATTTATAGTACTGAAATAATCCTTAATCGTACGATTCTATATTACGAATAATTTAAAAAACATTAATTAGATCAACAACAAAAAAATTAAAACAAACACTAGCACAATCAAAATTAATTCAATCATAGATAAGAAAAAAAAATAGATAAGAAAAAATAAACCTATCATCAGAAATAGATTAAAAAAATATTCACAAAAAATTACATACAATTCATGTTAACAAAAATGATTTTATTTAACCTACAATAATAAAATAAGATCACGAATAAGAAAAATATGAAATATAGTAGATATATGATGGTAGTATTATAAGAACAGGAAAGAAAATATGTAAAAGAATAAAAGAAAAGATATAGTAAAAAGTTAAAGAGAGAGAGACAAATAGAGAGTAAGAAAAATAAAAAAAACGGGGAAGGGGGAGAGGGAGGGTGGGTATGGATGGCAGTGCCGAGACTCAGAGATGAAGGATGTACGGCGTGACGGTCTAATTGAGGCCTTCTTGATTGCATTTACACCGCTGCACGGCCTCCCGTATCCCCGGTGCATCCAACATCCACCTTCTGCAATGGATCCACGTCGTATCTGGCGAAGGCTGCCGCCACTTCGACTCTCTTTCTCTTTTCTATCTTCCTCTTTCTTATTCTCTTCATCTTTTTCTACCTCTATACGACTTCTCATTACTATACGTCCTTCTCAAAGTAAATCTTTCTCTTTCTCTCTTTTTTTTCTTTTATTTTACATCTCTCTCCTTCTCTCTCTCTCTCTTCATCTTCCCTTATACCCTTCCGGGCTCGTAAACTCTATATATATATACATATTTAAACTGGTAATTATTGGGTCAGTATTTTTCAACAATTTTAATCAAAGTTTGTAATAAATGTTTTGTATTTTGTAAATCAAATATCAATGTAACGTAATATAAGTGATCAGTATTAATTAGATCGAATAATATAAAAAATATTCTATATATAGGTATATATACTACCATTTAAATGATTGCTAATATATAAATATAATTTATATCAATGTTTTATATATATATACACGATAATTAATAATGAGCACAATTATTTACCTGTACTGATCATTCATTTCATTCGATATCTATCATTAAGTTATTGAAAATATATTGAACAAATGATTATATGAATATAAAAAATTTTTTTTAAATTATTTAAATATATATATATATTATTTCTATATCTTTATACTTCTTCTCGTTAAAAATAAATTCTAACTCAATACCGACAATCTACATAAAAATTTCTACTACTAATTAAGTAATTAATCTTTCTTAAAAAAAAAAAAAGAAATAAATGAAACATTAAATAACTCTAAAGTAATGCTGCAAATGTACCTTTTATTGATAGAATAAGCTATTTAATTATTAGGCAATTAAATTGATAAACTTATCATAGCTTGTGCATTATAAAAGAATCAAATAAAACTAATGTAAAAAGTTTGAATTACGAGAGAAACAAAAAGGATGCATTTATCGGTAAAGGAAGTGCCATTTGGGGGTCTTTTGGGCCTTTCTTCTCTTACGGGGACCCAACGTGACCTCTTCTTTTTTTCTGCCATTTCCTTCTTCTCCTCCTCCTCTCACTTTGGGCATTGCTGTCCAAGACATGGCATAAAATGTGCAAACGCCGCCATTAGTTACGTGGTAAGGACACGGAATGCTATTCGCTCGAAGCCTTATTAAGCCCATTACATCTTAATTTATTTCCTTATTTAAAAAAAAAGCCTCGTAAGGGGAAAGAACGAAGCCTCCCATCCTCCCCACCCTTTCCAAAACGAAGCTGGACGATTGGAAGTAGGAGTAATGATATAATTTCAGTGTGCCTTCTTCTTTTTCTCGCACCACCACCACCACTACCACCACCACCATCAGCATCATCACTATTTGCATTTGCTTCTCCTTCTTTTCTCCAACAGCTTGAACATTTTCGTTCCTCTTATATACCTAACCAATAAAAAATTCCCGCACGCGAACGTGTGGGAAAAATAATGAACGCCCACGATCACCCCGAGTAACCTTTCTCTTTCTCTTTCATTCTTTTATTTTTTACTGATTCACGAAAGGTGACTTGTTTCAGGATTTGCCAATTGATCGTTCGTTATAATGCGAAATTTGATTATACTTTGGATAATAATGAAAAGAGAGGGGGTTATCTCTCTGTTGGAGCCTTTTTTTTATAAGCTAAATTATTGTCAATAGATATATGGTTGGCTCATAAGTAATATTTGTGATATTAATGATAGTTTGTCTGGTTTTTTTTTGGGATGTAAAATATTATTAAGCACGTTAGCATATGGAAAATTATTTAAACAAATATTATTTTAATATTAAAGATTATTTGTCGCAAAGTAAAATATGATAATAATGTGTATTATGTATTTAATATAAAAATAT